CCCTAATTTAGACAACTACCCATTTAGGTCTGCCAGGACACAGGTTGTGAAAGGTTTGCTTGCTGTGTAGAGCTGCGCTTGGCCAGGCAACAGACCCACAAAAAGCCCCCAGTTTTTGATGGCCGCCTGTCCATAGCCGGACTTCTCCGAAGGGGGCCGGCTGCCGGTGCTCAAATAGCCTCGGTCCGAGGCGTTGATCCAAAGAAGCTGCATGAAGCTGCCACTTGGGAGTTTCCGAAAATTAGGGTACCCTGTTTTGGGGTCCTTATAATAAGGATCCTACTATTTAGGGTACTATATTAGGGTCCCCTATTTTCTGAAACCCCCACTTTCCTGCACGAGTCTGCACCATCCACACTGCCCCAACGAGCTTCCACGCTGAGCTCCTTGCTGCCACCCAGGCTGTCGCCCATGTGCCCAACGCCTGGCGCCGGGCTTTCGCCGCGAGCCCCAAACTCTTCAGACACTCCAGAACGGAACACGAGCTCACTCCCCCTGCCGAAGCAATGTTCGGATCCACCTGCACCACCACAGCTGGAAGGTGGCGGGCCGTAGCCATTCCTGACCGCGGCTCAAGCATAGGGGTAGGGCCTGAGTAAGGAATTACGCACTCCCAGCTCGTGAGCTTGGGCCTTGATGCTTCTCCCTGATACTACTGGAATCACAGGAACAGCTCTGCAAGGTGCAATGAATCCCTAATCCAACAACTTCATGCCATCGGGATTTAAGTTGAAGCTCTTAGAGCAGCAGCCATCCGGAGTCTTTCTACCGGGGGACAGCCTCGAGACGGCAGGGGGCGAATGCCGCTGGTAACCACCTGGGAGACGCTTTGCTACAGATTTAATGACTTTCAGGGTTGAGGGCATGGGAGAGCTTAGGGCGAAATAGGGTTGCGGGTCTTCTTTCGAAGACGATCCTGGTTGTCAAAACTGAGTTTAACGAGTAGCACCATGATTGCGTTCTCGACTGGCGTTGGGCAAAGCACGAAGCAAGGAGCTGGGCAGGATAGTGCCGACAAGCTGACCACTGAGCTGCCAACTCGAGCCGAATCCACCCGAGGGGCCTCCCCAAACAAACGTCGGTTCCCAGCCAAGGTTGAGAAACCATGTTAACCTCAATGACCCTCATCATGACACATCGGGCCGCAATGAATGTGGCGCCTTCACCCATCGGCCCAGATGGAGCCATCTGCGAGGGATGATACATGCCGGGGCCCGTATCCTGAGGACGAGGCGGCTCTGCTAGTGCTGTGCCCCGCCGCATGGAGCTACTCGTGCCAAAGCTGGGAGAGGCACATACTCGATGCTTTTCTTGTTCAAATGTTGGCCTGGCAGAAGCGACCATGCGCCCATGCCCAACTCAAACCCAGGCACCCCTCTACGACTCCCTCCGAGCAGAACCCAGCCCACACTCCACCCAGAATTGCTCTGCAGGCAAAATCCTGCCATTTGACAGCCGGCAGCACCGTAGCTGCCCTGCATGTGAGGAGGACTTTGCGCTGGCGGCCTGCCAACAGCTTGCAGCCAACTGCTCGTGGCTTTGGCTCTTCTCAGCTCTTAGGGGTCCCACTCCGCTCTGCTATGCTGCTATGCTCTGCCTATAGCCGACAGGCTGCACCTTGTTGCCGGTGCCGGCTGCGGCTGCGGCGCATTCTCCGGAATGCCCTGGAGCACCGTCAAATCCTTCAGGTCCTTGCCTGGCAAGATCAAAAGGCAAGTGTCTCGGCTGAGGCGAGACTTCTGCCTCGGAAGACGATGAAGTCGTAGATTTCGTTGGACACCGGGATCTCTGACTGCCTGAGCTTTGGACATTGACGTGGCGTGAGACGGTTCCGCTGAGTGCCGTGCCCTCTGGTCTGGTCTGCTCTACCTTCGGTGCCGAAGGATCTGACGCTTTCTACCTCAGATCACAGAGATCCGGGCATGAACTCAGGACCCTTCAGTTCCACTATAGTATAGTATAATATTATATGATATAGTATAATATAATATAATATAATATAATATAATACCACTCTGAGCACTCGCAGCAGGCATCGAGCACTGGACGGCGATGGTTGATTCCTCCCGGTTCAGCGTCCGAAGAAACCTAGGCGTTTGACTGGGTCCGGACAGCAGGGTCGGCATCCACGAGTAGTCGGAGTTTCCGTTGTGACTTGAGAAATCGTGAGAAGTGCAACAAAAGTGTCGAGTGAAACTCCTGGCAGCACCAGGTCTAGTTTTTGCATCCCGGAGAGACAAGGGTGCACCTTATGTGCTGCTTCGTCTCTGAGGTTCTCTGAGCGCAAGGCCCTTCGTATCGCATATCCGAGGTGGTAATCAAGCTGATCTTGCTCCCGATGTAGGGCACCCCACTCGACATGACCTCTCAGAACTACCGAGAGCTTCCAAACCTCCTGCAGAACCGACCTCTGCCCTTCAAGCTTTGAGGGAGCGGCTGGCGCAGTGGAGTGGAAGTGCACACACCGAGTTCAAATTGTCAGGCAGCCTGGGTGCGAGACTTTTGCCTCGCCTTCTCAGTTCGAAGTTGCTGCAAAATTCCAGACCCGAGAATCCCTGAGCGCAGGGACCTTCTTTGCAAGGCCCGGGCTGTATCCACCTCGGGCTCGGCGCGAAAGGGATCCACGATTTAGTCGACCTGCGCCGTTACAAAGCGTAGCGACTGGCGGGGGATTCGTCCGAAGGAGAGGAGCCGTTGTGCACACCGAATTCGTCAGGGCTTTTGGCTTTGTGATTCCTGGTCTGCCCCGTTCATGATTGAAGATCTAAGCAGAGCAGAATACACACGCACAAAACGAGCTTTGCTCAGAGTTTTCTGCTTGGATCACAGTCTTTGCCCTCTCTTCCCGGGTTCCCGAAGAGAATTGTGCAGGGGAGCTCCGAGGTGATTCCAAGCTGCTCGACCTTTCCTTTGTGAAACCTGCCTGATTCCTTGATCTAGAACCTGACCGAAGGTGCCGTTTCGTGATTGGCTTGAGTCCCTGCATGTTCCTGTCTTGATGATGCAGTCGGCCGATGCCACTCTTTGCGTGACCCTAATGAAGGTTGAGCTGCTGAACCGACAACCACAAGTCCAGTAATTTCACTATACCGAAGCAAGGCCCACATGCACCTCTTCAGCACGCTAGCACGCTCGGACTGCTACACGGAACACCATGACTGAGCCAAATTGCTGCGAAGGCCGCAGATGATCGTCAGGCTATGATCGTTGGCCGCTGATCACTACGAGGCTCAACTTATCCCAAAACCTCCTGAAAGTGCTGATCCAGAGCAGTCGCTGCTTCATGCTGCTTCTGCATCGAAGAGATTTTCGTCTCATAGCCAGCCACCAAAGGACATCCAGATTCAGACGGATCGGCGGACGGGTAAAGAAGGACCATCTTGTGACTCCAGCCCTGAGCTTTTCTACCTGCTTCCGACCAACAGGGCACTGACACTGACGTCACCAGACATCCCCGCTACGAGGAGGCAGCATAAAATGGAGAGGAGTGCTTGAGACATCTTTCTGAGACGAAGTGTCATGTGAATCATGAGGAACCAAGCATCGCACGTCCAAACTGAGGTCTATTTCGCAGGAGCTCAACACGTCTTCACAACTTCTCAAACAAACCATAGTGATAACTGGCTGCATGGCCGTCGGAGTAGCTCATCTCCTGAATCATCCCTCCCAATAGTGCTAGTGTTTGGACGTACCTTCAACCCGCTGTCATTGAAAGATGTCACGGGGCTCTCCAGAAACTGCAGAAAGCCACGGCCAGGCACATGGCTACAGCGTGCCAAGAAGGCTGCAGGATGTCTCAGGCGAAGTAATTCTTCCCAGGGTGGCTCCCCATGCATGGTTTCGACTCCGATGATGGACGACATCTCTATAGAGGCACTAGGCACTTCTGCCTGAGCCGCCACAGCGCTCACTCTCAGAGAACTTACCAAATTTGACCTGGGCTGCGGTGGAGAGGCGCATTCCCGCGCTGGCCATCCGACTCTCCCGGAAAGAAGTCCTCTTGAAACGAGGGAGCCTCGACGTTCCCTGCCTTTCTGTGAGAAAACCACCCGGCTCAGTGTTTACCCTACAGTCAAGAATGCTTCCAGCCCTGGAAAAAGAAGCTACAGTACCACGACGTCAAGCAGCTAATCAATATTTAGTCGCACTGACACCTCTTTTAGCGAAATTGCTGCGGGCTCAATGCACTTCTACATCGCAGCCGGACACCTTCGGACGCACTCGGCCACTAGGCTCCAGGCCACTGTTGTACACGTCCACAATTGCATTAGCTTCCTGGCTGAAAGCACGCATTAAGCCTTCCTTATCCAAGAAAGCAAGCCTCGCTTCAAGCTACGCACAGCCTCGCATGCACACTAGCCTTCAACCAACAGCAAGCCGCTGCCAGATGCAAGATGAGCGGAGCCTTTGCCGTCCTCCCCTTGTCGCGCGCGCTGAAAGTGGAGGAGAGCCGTCTGCGAAGGAATGGTGAGAGATTTTCACTTTCAACTGTAAAGCTCGCGTCCTCCCCGGCCACCCGGCCTGCAACTGCTGCAGAAAGTCCTCTTTGCCTGGCAACACCTCACCGCACGGCAAGGGTGAAGGGGATAAGGTACAGTACTCGGAGACGCAAGGCATCGCAAGGCATCGCAAGGCATCGCAAGGCCTACAGTAGGGGATCTGAGGACAGCCACTGGCTTGGCTCCACTTCCCCATGCATTGACAGGGGTCCTGGCCAGGCGATCACTGGCACTGCACTTACTTCAGACTGTCAAATTCAGTCAGCACGACAGGTCGGAGAAGTGATGAATGGACTTGTTGCCTGACCTCAAGGCTATTGAGGACAAGATGCATCCGTCTACAACATCTTTTGCTCCCCGAACGACCCTGCTCTCTGTCGGATCCGGTGGTTCCGATCTTTTTGGGGAGCAACCCCGAGGGCGGAGCGACTTCTGCTTTTCGTAGTCTTCCATAACAGCCTGTCGCACATGGATTGGAAGCTGTGCAAAGGCCTGTGCTCCGCCCGCTGAACCTGGTATCTCGATGAGATCCACTCGGCGGTCTCCTGCGCATTGAATCTGGCCTCCGATTGCGAGGCACGAGCAATCGTGTCTGGTGCGCAGCTGATGCCTTTCACAACTCAGGACTGGAAGTTATTGAGCAGTTTTCAAGCTTTTTTGCCTGCGCTCGCGTGCCTTCGCGTCCGATCTTGGTCACATCCTGCTCACCATCGACAAGAGACAAGAGCAGCGACCTCCTGTCTCGGACCGGACCCGCATCTGCATCACAAATCTCCTCCTGTAGCACCTGCTTGCTAACCACAGCCGTGTCGGACGTATCGAATCCCTGCCCTGGAGCGTGTTGACAGTAAGGAGGCCGAAGAGCGAGAACACGGGATGAGTCCACCGTCAAGTTGGCTCGTCTGTGGCATGCTTCGAGCTCCGTACTGTCCACAGGTGCACACTGCGGTCGTAGAACGACGCTGAAGCCGCCAAAGACATCTCCGAAGAAGCTGCAAATTCCCAGGAAATTCCGTAGCCCAATGAGCCGTGCGTTCCTTCTGGCGCATCTGCGGCGTAGGCAGTCAGACACTCAAAGCCTGCATCATCAAGACGGAACACAGGGAAGCCACTGCGCATGGCAGCGACGGCAAGAATGCCCCGCCACCGAGGATGCCATGCGATCTGGTATGCTCCGTCACCGAGTCGACCTGTCTTTGCCACAGGTTCAGCCGTCAGCTTTCGCAGATCGAAGAGCCGGAGCCTTTCGTCATAGCTGCCAGATGCCACTTGCAACGGGTTGAAGGGATTGAAAGCCAAAGCCGTCACACCAGCCTCGTGACTTCGGCGATTGCGAAGGGCAGGCGTGTCTGGTTCTCTGATATCCCAAACGGCTACATGGCCATCATCTGCACCAGACAGGACCAAATCAGGCTCTGCAGGAGACACGTCAACACACCACACTTCCAGATCGTGCTGCTGCTTCTCTGCCAGTTTCTGCAAGCCCGACGCATCCAGCTTCAGATGGTAGCATTTACCATCCTGGCCCACTGCAGCCAGTCCATCTCCACCAGCTCCAAAGCAAAGGTGCGTCAATATCTGCTCGGATACGTTGGAAGCCTCGTGCAGCACCCCACGACTCTGGGAACAGAGCCTCACACATCCATCCGCACAAGCAGTCGCTAGAACACTGCCGTCAGGGCCCCAGGCAATGTCGTACACACCAGGACTTTCTATAATCTGCGTGCGGCGAAGCGAATACCTGAAGGACTGTTCTCACAAAACTATGGAGCTGGAGCTGCGATGGGTGCTTTCATATCCTCGTGTGGACTATCTCACCACGTGTGTATGCTGCAAACGCAAGAAAACCCCTGCTCAAGTCCCCATGGCTAGGCACTGGTGCGACTGGTCAGCTTGTTCGATGCTTGCAAAAACAAGAGCTCCCTTGCGCTGATTGGTTTCCTCCACGTGCTCATACCTCAGCTGTTGCAGACGGTGACCAGTACCGATGCAAGTGGAATGTAACGAAAGGCAGAACGTATTTCCTGCTATGTCATGCTAGCCGGAGCATATCAACCTTGCTTCTACATCAGGGACGAAAGTGTGGTCCCGACTTGCACGTAAGGCTTAAGGCTTTTAAGGAGGACCGCAGCCCACAACAAACTTGAGAGCCTATCATTTCAACTAGCGAATTTTCGACGCTCGTCTCCAGCAAACGTCCAGAAAGGCGAGGGTCGTTCCCCAGGCAAGGCAAGCTTCGTCTCCGCGTGGACAGAACTCGACGACATCCGGATAGCTCTCGCAACTTTCGAACACCTCACCTTTCAACTCCATGATATGTAGAGGATCCATCGCCCCATGAAGGTTCTGATTCCATGGCACGTATCTTGAAGCCTTCGCTGCGAACACACGTCACGTCGCTCAACTGCTTCGCTGGCTTCTGCCCTGCAACCATCCATCCAAACGCAATAAAAGTATGCAGTTGTTGAAATGAGGTTTCGAACATCACCAAAGCAAATACTTCGTCAACCACAAGAGCGACACCGAGCACGAACGTGCACAACAATTCGGGAGCTTCTGCTTCCAACATATCTCAATCTGTCCAAAAGTCCAACCTGACTCAACAAGCAAACCGACCGAAACCGTTTGCATCCACCTCCGCCAATCTCTTGTGAAACTCGCGCCTGGCCCTCGCCATTGGATTCCTCCGCACTACGGCTGGCGGTTTCCTGCACATCGTCATCACAGGACGAGGTAAATATCTATAGAATATACATTTTTCCATATGCAAACTTATGTTACATACATACATACATACTACATACATACATACATACATACATACATACATAGCATAGCATAGCACAGCATAGCATAGCATAGCATAGCATAGCATAGCATAACATAACACAACACAACATAACACAACATAACACAACATAATATAACATAACATAACGTAACATAACATAACATAACATAACATAACATAACATAACATAACAGAACATAACATACCATAGCATAGCATAGCATAGCATAGCATAACATAACAGAACATAACATAGCATAACATGACGTGATGTGACGTGACATGACATGGCATGATATGACATGGTATAACATAACATAACATAACATAACATAACATAAAATTAATGCATAACAAAGCATAGCACAACATATCATAGCATAGCACTGCATAGCACAACACAATATATAGATGATAGCAAAGCAAAACATAACAACAGACCATAACATATGTGACTAAACACAAGATGACGTATATAACGTAACGTAACATGGCATACCATGCCATAAAACGACACAACAGAGCTTCTTCCTAAAATGGGTTGGTGGATGGATGGGTAGAGGATGGAGCCAGGAATGCTCGCACCTGTGCCTTTGGTTTTTGTTTTGCAGTTGCCAAAACTTTGCATCTGAGCTCAGGATGGAGGAGACCAGAGCGAAGAGGTCCCGAGCCCCAGGGCAAGTCCTTGCTGCAGTTTGATTCTCGCCAAGACATCTAAAGGCGGTTTAGGCTTTAGGCTTCGGGTTTATGATTTAGGTTTTCGGGTTTGGGGCTTCGGGAATGCCCAAACCCTGGCGTCGAATTTCGAGACTCCTGAACCCGGAAGCCTACAGCACCCAAACCGTCGAGCCTTCGACTGCAGTCCCTTTGTGAGGTCCATTGAGAAGCGTCTGCGACGAAGTTGTCACCGAACCAAGTTCTTCCAGGCCGAGCAGTGAGGCGTTGTTCTACTCAATTATACTCAATTTTGAGGTCTTGTTTTGGTCAAGCAAGATGAATTGAATGGGGGTGTGCTATGGTATAGTTGTGAATGGCAGAGAAGGGCATACTACTACCAGATATGTTCGGAGTCCCCAGAAATTGCCCGGAAGATCAAGCATTTAATTCAGCAGCCGGGGCCCTAATACTGAAGAACAGGCCCCTCGCGTTTGATTCCTATCTTCAGGACTCGACGAAATGAGGGACATTGCAGAGGCCCTGATGTGCGTGCTCTTGTGCACGCGAAGTATGCAGCAGCCGTACCGCCCGGGGCCCGGGTAGCTGTGGGATGTTCCCTGACGGGATGCACAAGTTGCAGGAACTGGAGCAGAAAAAGAGAGAGAGAGAGAGAGAGAAGAGATGGTCTTATCGCGCTGACGTTACGCATTAGGGGAGTCTCCTCAGGTGGCCAGAGAAGTTCAAGGGCCGCGGGCAACACAGGGAATAACCCTGAGCGAGGATGCATTTGTTAGGTAAGCACCTGTTGTCTTGTTGGTTGGGGACTGCTAGAATCCTCGAATTGCCTTCATGGTGAGTGTGCTTTCAATATGCCTCTGCGCAACAGGCCGGGGCGCTGACGCGCGCGGGTGAGGGGAGCAATCCCCTCTCCCCCAGTCCTGGAGAAAGAAAGCGAGAGATGAAGGAGCACGGCATCCGACGGTGTCTCCCGCGCCGGTTTCATCAGATATGTGGATCGAATTGAACAGCCTTGTACTAGTCAGCATTGGTAATATTATAGTATAGTTCCAAAGTTCCACGAAAGAGCCCTCTCCTCCGACCTATCAGCAGATCCCGCATTCGCTGCTGCGCGCCAAGGACGAGGAGATGGAGCAGCTCCGCTCGGAGCTGGACGCTTTGCGTGAAGGCCTCAGGTCCGGGCGGTGAGTCGAGTCTCGCGGATATTTCGAGGAAGCATCCGTGCCTGTCAACTATCCATGTTGGTGCTGGCACTACTGGCCACTCTGCACAGCAACTTCCTTTGACTATCACCGTGCCTGCATGTGCTCCTCTCTACATGCGAAGCAAGCCGAAGAAGGTTGGAATCAATCAATGTTTTCAAGACCCTGCTTTGGACACAGGACGACAGCAGCAGTAGTGCTACGAGATGCGCCACGTCGCTGGCAAAAGGCCGCATGTAGCAGGGCTTAATTGTGTTTATGCTGCCTTCATGTCAGCCAGACTTTGTCGATGCTCGCCCGTCCTATTGATGCTCCATGGTCAGGGGCGGCTGGCGGGGGGGGCATGGGCACCGTTGAGCTGGGCCTGGCTTTATACCTAGCTGCGACTGCTGCTGCTGCTGCTCCTGCTCTCCTGCTCTCCTGC